CCCCCCCCTCCCCACCACCCGGGATCTTGAGATATGGAGAGGAAGAGATAAAAAGCAACATTCTGACACTCAAAAGCACTGAGTTCGGCTCGCATAGGAACTATATGTTCGGCTGAAAGGGTGACTCGTTGCAGCGGGCGATGGATTCGCCGTGCTATGTCAACTGCCCGACGCTCAAGACGCAGAGCGTCTCGGAGATGAACAAGTGCTCCGTCCCGAATACTGTGGACGAGGACTTCAGTGGTTGTGAGTGACTCAGATGAACTCCGAAGTGTGGTTAACCAGTACTGACACCGTCATACAGGGCTCAAGGCACTGCCGGGTGCGCCGACGGGCGTGTAGGTTTGGCATCTTGGAAACTGGGCGTCCGGTACGATAAGTACGTAGAGAGAACGAAGGCGTTGGTTGGGGAAGGTGTCAAGTGTGTCAAATCCTCGAATCATCCCAGAGGCAACAGAAACAGGTATTAAGACAGGAAGAGAGTTGGAAATGGAACCTTCCATGTTTAGCACACTTTTCCGAGCAGATAGTGAAAATGTTCTACAAGACATATTATACTTTCTGATAACAGAACCAATGTCCGTTGTGTTTGTGTTGCGTGTTTCATTAGGTACCTACCTAGATTGACTTTGATCTGGCTGAGGTTGCGGAGATTCCGTTGCCTGTTTGGTGCAGCACCTTTGGGTTGCCTCCTACACCGGAGAAAAAAAAATGAGTCTCTGTGCAGCAAGACGCCTTCTTTCTGAGCGGTCCCACGGAAAAGTGTGCGGCCTCCAGTATCCGCCTCGAATCTCGTAATGGCTGGACATGGCTCAACAATGGTAGCGAAGATGGCCGCGGCATGTGCGGATCCGACTGAAGCATTGAAGAGCGCTCGCGCACCGAAAACACCGACCATGACGTCGCTTCGGATGTCAGCGGCCCCAGGCGGCCAGGAATCGGAGGTCGGCAAAACCGTTGGGATCTCGGATGGCAACCCGCGCTGAATTCAGCCAATAAAATGAGTGACTCGCTTCCAATCAGGGCAAGAGCAGGGCAGGACCCCACTGTGACCCAGGCGGCAGGCGACTGTCAGCCACCGGCAAATGGCACTCTGCAGCTCTGCTCAGCAGGCAGGTTGCCCCGCCGCACCTGCATAGTGCTCATGCCACACCAACCACCGCCGATTTCCTTCCCGCAAAAACAGCGAGTTACTTCCAGGCCATTTCCCAATCCAACGTTGCGGAGGCGAGGTCGGGCTTGCTGCATCTACGCGATATCGGCCAGCGCAATACGAGCTTCGAGAGAAAATTCGGCTCGACGGTGCCATTGCAGCAGCATTCGCCCACGTAGCACACGGCGGCCGCCTATGAGCTCTCGAGGAGAAACCTTCCGTGTCCGCTCGGGCAAGACCGCTCCCAGATCTTGTCCCACCAACCTCGACCCCGCCACTGTCCCGTCCGCGCCGTTGATCCTCGGACCCAATTTTCCCGCTGGTGTTTGTGATTTTGTGGCCCAGTCTCACAGGCAAGACAGGCACGCCGCCATCACGAGGGGATCTGCAGTTCTCAATCCATTTGGGACAGTGGCTGGCGCTTCGAATGGCTCCCTCCACTGTCCACTCGGTGCCACCGTGCCACCTCCATCGCGTGGTTGGCGCAGCACCACATCCCACCGTACCTCGCATGTCACTTGGATGCTGCAGGGAAGGTAGTCCGGCTGGAGCGGGATGGCGATCTGACGCATGCGGCATCTGAGGGCACTCATGTATAAATAACTCGGCGGCTGCCCGCCTTTGCTGGGCCGAAATAATCCAAAGCAATAAAGAAGTGGACCAAGAAGCAGATCCAAGAGCCTGGTTCAAGTTGACATCCCAAACGGTCAAGATCTACACTCATCCATCATCATATCTTGACGCCATCTCATCTCGTCTCTCTATCCAATCTACCACCCACTCTCAGGGCTTTCTCTCCTCTCTTCCTTCCACAATCAACCGCCACAGCAACAACCACCCAAAATCACAAGCCGTCAAGATGTACTTCCGCACTCCCTTCGTTGTTCTCTCACTCCTCGCCCTCGCCTCCGCCTCCCCCGTCCCGAGCCCCGGCCCTGCCGAAGGCGCCAAGTCACCGGCCGGCTGCTCAGACACGTCGTTCAAGAAGTTCACCTGGACGGCCAAGAACTTTGACTTCCACGCCTCCTACATCTTCACGACGCCCGCCCACCAAAACTCATGGGGCTATGTGTCGTTCGACTTGTACAACCCCGGCGACCAGACCACGGCCCACTGCGAGGGAGCGAGCAACCAGCTAAGCGACTTCTTCTACGGCACCGTCCCTTACAAGTGCAACGACACCGAGAGGATCGGCGAGACCAAGTTTGACTTTGCCCGCCCGACCAACCAGCTGCGGGTCAACCAGACCTGGACCTGCGACGACAACGACCCGCAGTATCCGTGAGTTCCTCCTGTCTTGGTACTCTAACAATTCACCGTGCTAACTTGGGCATAGCACCACCTTCACTGGCCGTGGCAGCATCGACTTGCCGCTGGACTGCAAGGACCAGACCTGGAAGAACCCGGACTGGGAGATGGGCCAGATCTACTCCAGCCGGACCATCACCTGTGCGCCTGTAGAGAGCACAATCAAGCCCAACGAGCTGAGCGCTGTGGCGTAAGACGGTGACGGACTGGGTTCGGTTTTACGAGTATATGATTGATGATTGACTGGCAAGTCTCAAATATGGGTTCGCGGGCGCAGGTATGGTTGGATAATAGCCCGCCTTAGCGGTTAATGGTTGGATCTGGACTGGATAGATTTTAGACTTGCAATGTACATGCACACTTAACAGAACCTTCGCCAGGGGAGCTGGGAGAGTAATATTTGTTGTGTTGTTTATGGCCTCAGCCCGTAACCACCCAGTCGAACCAACACCTCGATCTACCAACGGCCAACTGCGAGCCTTGAAAGCTCGACTGCTCAACCGAAACTCAGAACCACCCCCCCAAGCCTAGTCATAAAACACCTCCTTCAACACATACCCATACTCCGCATACGACGCGGACGCCAAACCCATCTTCTCAATATCATAATCATTCCACAGCCCACCCCCCGCAACCTGCGCCTCCCGACTCCACTGCGCCAGCCGACTCCTCACCTGCGCCGGACTCTGCCCAAACTGCGGCTTCGAGTCATTAACCACCCACAAAATCGGCACCACTTTCATCCCCAGCGCCGTCTGCCAGCTCGCCGGCACATTCCTCGCCCCGCCATCATACAACTGCAGATACACCCGATCCAGCAACCCCTTACTCTCCCCACTATTCACCCCCGAGACCACCCCCGCCCAAAAACCCAACCGCCCCGCATCATACGGCGCGATGGTATACCGATACCCAATCGCCCCGAGCATCCTGGCGAACGCCACGGTGCTGGCCGAGTCATAAATACTCTCATCATCATTATTGACCGCATCCAGCCCCCACGCCGCGCGCAGCGCCGCGAAGTTGCGGTACAGCGGGGTGGTGGCGCCGGGGCCAGGGCTGGCCATGAGCTGGCGGATGTTTTGCGCGTTCATGCAGATCTCGACGCGGTTGATAAGCGTGCCGCTGGCCGTTTTGAAGGACTGGACCTTGGCGGCGAGGGCGTCGCCGCCGACGTAGGCGCCGCCCGAGGCGAGCAGCACGTCGCTGCTGCCCGGGGTGTTAGAGTAGTACATGATGTCGCCGTTGGGGAGGACGCCGACGCCGAAGATGATGAACGTGTTGAAGCCCGAGGTGGTGAGCGCGGTCGTGTTGGATTTGAGCACGTCTTTGAAGAGGAAGATGCTGCGGATGGGGGAGGCGGCGAGGGTGGTGGTGAGGAGGGTGTGCAGGAGCAGGGCGCGGAGGAGCGCGGGGAGATTCATCTTGGTGGGGTGAAGGTGAGGAAATCGTGGGGGGGTTGGCTGCTCTGAGAGATGGGAAATGCCCTCAAGCAGGGGCGTCCGTGATTTATGTGTTGTACGTCTCGAGATGTATAAAGCAGTCCTACCTTCATGTCATGGTTAAGCCCTGGCATTTGTGGGAAACAAGGTCGCAATCCAGATGATCATGCAGATGGGACATCCACTTAGATTTGCCGTAAAATATTGGGCGCCGGTTTTTAACTCATCCGGGCAGTAGGAATGGAACTTCTGGATATTGTTCCCTGGTTAAAAGCCACTCGTGTCTTCCCCGCCCGGTTCTGGTTGTGTGCCGGTGCGGCCCTTGGTCATCAAACTAAACTGCTAACTACCCTCAACCGCAATTATTCAAATCCGTGAATGTGACTTTGCTATCCCTGGACTTCAATAATAGAACCATTCCAAGAAAGCTAGCGAATATGTGACCCAAACGCCGAGACCAGAGGCAGGTTTCGATTCTACTGTAGGTAGTCAGACGAGACCACATGCAATCTACCGGGGCCTGGAAAAGCCATATGCAGAACTATTACTCCAACCTTTCTTTATGTCAGCTAGCAACTACCTCCTTACCTCTTACCTATTCTGCTAGCAAAAAGTTCTCCAGGACCGAATTCTTATCCTCTATCTTCACAACTCCCTTTAACAACAGAATGTGACACAGTTCTCGGTCACGAACCCATATTGGCCCCTCGGCTCCCAGCTTGTCCTTACTCTCGTTACTCGTGCGACCAGGCTTGGGGCGCTGCCCCTGCTCTTGATGCCCTTTACCACCTCGCCATTCCCATTGGGCAGTTTCGTTTGCATCTGACTGGCGACGATTCGTCGCGGCCAACGCGGCACCGGTCATGAAAAGATAGTCTCTGTGGTTGGCCAGTCTCGGACGCGGCGGAATATGCTGGCCGCGTTGGGCGAGATCTGGCCCGTCACGGTGGGGCAATTGTCGAAAACATTGTGCTCGGGAATCTCTGCGATAAAAAGGGGGGCTGCAACTGCTTGATATCGGTACGTTCTAGCCGGCTGAGCTGGCACAACTACCTACCTAGGTACCTAGGTAATTCATTTCCATTCCGCTCTGGTTGGTTGTATTGCCACCACACCCACACTCCGACCGATGATGTTGTGCTCAGAGCCCCTCTCTCTCTGACAACTCCTCGTGTTGATTAGAGCACCCACCCGTCACGGAACACTTGGTTTAGTCGCAATTGTCGCCAATAGTAATCTGGCGCCGGCTTGCACCAATGAGAGTAGCAGCCAGGTGCAGCTCATTAACACCAGGCTAGACGTTTCCAGGCAAAGTTAGGCGGGTGTTACGGCCCAAAGAAGATCCTGGCGACACGGGCGGTCTCCAAGTCTTCAACTAATCCCCAGACGAATTCCCCGGTTTCTCCTCGTTCTTCCCATCCATTATGACCAGCGGGAACTGCCCAGCCTCTAGTCTTCAATTCCATTTGGGTTCGCCTAAGAGATCAGGCCCAGGGGCTGTTTGTCCGCCATGAGACGACTCAAACTATTTCGCCGTTTCCATCGCCAGAAAGAGGCATCCTGCTCTCCCCAACCTAGCTCCCCGAGATCGAGCGAGTCGTCGGAGGTCTTTCCGCTAGTCGGTGGAAGCTCTGCCAAACACTATGACACCGGCACCCCGTTCCACTCGGAAATAGAGGCCCGTGAGGTAGAGGTCTGCCCCGGGCCACCCAAAGACTACATGTCGCCAGTCAGCCGAGTGGAACACGATGTTGGGATGGATCTTGCACTCCAACCACCACCTCCCTATCAACAGTCTGAGCAGTTTCAGGTTCCGCTCCTCACTTCCGCGGCAGGGACTCAGAAGCCAACTCCTGCCCGAGTCAAGCCGCGTGCGTCGTTGGAGCAAGCTGAATGTACCACTGTCCCGGCTCCAACCCTGTCTCCAGCCCCCAATGAACAGGTTTTGGGCGTTGATACATCGACCAACCTGAGCCCTTCCCGCCCCCAGAAGTGCGATGATTGCGAGCAGGAACGCTCCGTTATTTGGTTTTGCCGGGCTTGCAATCTCGCCTTCTGTGACGAATGTTGGGGTAGGCAGCTACCACACAAGAAGAACAAACCCGGAGATGTCGCGCATGAAAAGACCAATACAGAGATTGCGGAGAAGGTCAAGAACGTCCTGACACCTCCAGCGGATGAGATTACACGCGAGCAGCTTCACCATGAGGATGAGATGACGGCTTGGTTCGGTGAGCGGTTCCAACCTCCAGTGTTTTGTAACTGCGTAAATGCTAATATTAGGCCCATCAGGGATCGAGAGACGGGATCGCGGCAAAGCCAGCCACCTTGTACTCTACGACTACGGGCGCCTCTCCGAAATTCTGAACAATCGGGGACCAAAAGCGCATGACACCTAGCCTCGTGTCCTTCGTTGGGGAGACAGGAGCGGGCAAAAGCTCCCTGATCAAGCTCCTGATCGACCTTGATACTGCTCACGGACAGAAACACTCGTCCCCCATTATTGGCCGTGGAGGTAGCCACCACCCAACATCAGAGGATGTGCATCTATACCTCGATCCTCGCACCGCTCAAACCGGTCACCCAATCATGATGGTTGATTGTGAAGGCTTGGACGGTGGCGAACTCGATCCTGCTGGTGCGAAATTCAGGTTCAAGAGGAGAGAAGGGGAAAAGAAGAAGGCGATGGAAGACGATGGTTACTTCAAGGCCTTGGGGATCAGCTCTGAGTACAAACTCCAGTGGTCAGTCGGAGATACAGGGAAGACCCGAGGCTTCGCGGTCACCCACCTCTACCCACGACTGATCTACGCATTTTCGGATGTCATCGTCTTCGTCCTGCACAACGCACGGTATGTCATTTCCTCCCCACCTATCTATGTATCTTCCGAAAGCCATGGCACGCCTGATTGTTGCTCCCGCTAACGCTCATCAGCGTCATCGAGCAGGTCTTTGAGAAACTGGTCACCTGGGCTGCCAACGCCCATAGAAACCTCAGCAAACCAGCCTCTACTACCTTCATGTCATTATCGTGCTGAACAAACATGAGGACTTTGAGTCGGCAGACACAACTGCCATACTTGAAGACATCTCGAGCATTATCGAGAAGAATAAAACACTTTCCAAATGGGCTGCCCATTGGAGAGAGCGAGGCAAGGCGATAGAGAAGCTCTCTCACCTTGTCCACTGTTACTACAGTTCCGTTGAGGTACGCCATCGTGTCCAAGAGAGTTGGCTGACTACGATTTTCCGGCTGACCTCCTTCGTCTAAAGATCATGCGAGTTCCTGGCAAAGACAGACCTCAGCTCGTCCACGACAGAGTCAAGAATCTGCAGTCGTCAATCAAGAAAAGCTGCACTGCCGCTCAAACCGCGAGAAGTCGCGCCGGTCTGCTTCTCGAGGTCGAGGGTTTGCAGACATACATGCACGAAGCCTTTTCGATCTTCTCCGCGGAACTAGACTCCCCATTCGACTTCATCAAGACATCCCATTTGATGTCACGTCTCTCCACAGATTTCAGCAACAGCCTCCTCCGGCTTTTACGGGACGTTGTGAATTTGTGGAAGGACAAAATGGAAGTCTCTGTGTTCCAGTTGTTATTTGAAATAAATTGGCTTGTTGCCTCCTGCATCAACCTTGACGCAACCCGGCAGGGTATTCAGGGTGGGTTCAGATACCTCCTACGAGTCCTACCTCCAAACACCTACATGTATCTATACTAATGATTCGATTCAGGCACCTCGGCCGATATTATGCTGAGATATGTCACACAGCTGGACGAGGTTCTCGAAACTTTCTGCAACCAACTGTGGCCATGCGAGACCTGGGACCTGATTTCGAAGCCATCCACCCGCTGCATCAACACACGCTTCGGGCATACAAAAGGCCATCAGTCTAAGAACGGAAAGGTTTTTTTGGCGGGTAGTTACAAATCTAGCGTACACTTCGACGCGTACCGCCAAAAGTTCTTAGCCAGCATCTACTGGAACTTGGATCATATATCAACCACCGTCGGTTCGCGAGATGTCACGAGACTACACGCGGCGGCTCAAGTCCATCAAGGAATCATCCAATCGTTTTTCCGACAGGCTGATCCCCCCCACGAGCGGCCGCGAGGAGCAAGTCGCCTCACAAGTCGCAGCTCTTGCTTCTGCTGTTTTGTCGAGCCAGGGGAACATCCCATGCCTTGTGAACACGTACTCTGCACCCCATGTGTCATGCTGTATGGAAAGCACAGCCAAATGACGCGAATGGAACCCGAGTTGTCGTCCTGCCCCATTGGGTGCAGATGGTCAAAGGACGCCGCGCCCCAGGTTGTCCGGCTCAAGCCCAAGTCCGCTGGGGTCCGGGTATTATCACTGGATGGGTACGAATGAATCTTTAGAGTACCGTTGATTCTCACTAATCATCATGGCAGAGGCGGAATCCGGGGGTTAGTGGAACTCGAAACTCTTCGGCAGATTGAGATTGCTCTGGGCGGGAACCTTCCAATCCAAGCGTTCTTCGACCTCATGGTCGGGACAAGGTTCGTGTTTGTCTTTCGTGCTATCATGATCCGCCTGGGGCCATTACTGACCGGTAGTTACCTACGTATTGGCTATAGCACCGGAGGTATTGTAGCGCTCGGTCTCGGCGCCATGGGATGGTCAGTGAATACCTGCATTGACCGATTTCGGGAGCTCTGTACCGAGGCTTTCACCAGAAGAAGGGGTGGCATCTTGGTTGAGAGTTTCTACCACTCAAAATATCAAACCACCACCCTCGAGTCTGCCTTACAGAAGGCATTTTCGGATCACAGACTTCTTTTCGGTGGCGGTTGCCAACCCAACTCTTCAATACCAGCAGTCAAGGTCGCCGTGACCTCTTTCTCACTTGTCGAGAACAAGACGGCTGTATTGTCGAACTACAACCGGCCATGTACGGTTAGGACGACAGGTAAGCCGGCACTGATAATCCTTCAGTTACTCTAGAGCTAGCGCTAATCCAACTCCCAGCAATATCTCATTTTCAACGCCCTGAAACAGCCGCGGAGGAGCTGAAAATCTGGGAGGCGTAAGTAGATATAATCTTCAGTCCCTCTCACTCAAAACCTGTAATATTCGACCCCCTAGAGGTTGACTCTTTGGTCTTGTAGGGCGAGAGCAACATCGGCGGCCCCCCAATACTTCCAGAAGTTCCTCCACGGTCCCTCGCGAAAGACGTATCTCGACGGCGCAATGCTTCACAACAACCCTGTCGAAATCGCAGAACAAGAGAGGACCGCACTCTGGCCTGACGTGCCCTACCCCGACGTCATGCTTTCTCTGGGCACCGGTCACTCACTAGTTGATCAGAGCTTTCCTAGTCGCATGAGGCTAATGAGGTCGAAGACAGGTATCGTGACATATATGCAGAATCTCATCGCCCTCCTCAGGATGAACATGGAAACGACGCTCAACTGCGACGAAGCTTGGCTTAAGTATGAACACTTGGTACGGGCCATTGCAGGGCGCTTTGATGCCGCGATACCTATGTTTCGCATCACCCCTACACTACAGGGTCAACTCCCCGCCCTTGACGAAACCGCCAAAGTCAAAGACCTCAACGAACAAGCTTCCAGGGCCTTGCAAGGCGATTGTACCATCACCAAAATTGCGGCCCAACTTGTAGCATCCTCGTTTTACTTTGAGCTTGAATCGATCGTGGACGGGTACGGGGAAAGGTTCAAGGCTACAGGTACGACTTACTGGGCTTCATCTCGTTCCTCTGGGAGAGGAGGTCTAATAGCTTGGATATAGGGCGCATTTGCTGCAGATTATCACAGCGGTCAAACGCGATAGCGTCCCTGGGGAGGCACCTCCGCGATCAAACGAGAGTGGTGAGCCAGCGCCCACTTCGCGTCCACGTCAGCATTCGGGATAATCAGGGAATCAGAGCGGAGGTTGCGGCTGTTGACCTGTCAAACATGGTGAGAAGCATGGTTCAAAACGAACCCTACTCCGAGCGCCTATCTTTCGACCTCAAGCACAAAGCCGCACCCATCGAAATACGACTGCAGTTCGGAGATGCGGCCTCCTCCAGTTGCCTCATCAGCGGATTTCCCCGGTCTCTGGTGCCCAACTCGTGGTCACGGGAAAGACCAATTTCGCGACTAGCCGGTTTGGATACCAACTCCTCCGTCGGCCCCCTTCGAGACGACAGAGTTTTGGACTGGAAACCTCCGGAGCGACAGGATGGCATGAATGCCGTGGATATTCAGCGCTACATAGATCCATCGCGAAAGCTGGGGTATAACGTCGACGACCCAAAGAGACAAGATTCTCGACTCAGATCACATCTACTTTCACGCATCCTGCCTCAAAGCTCTGAGAACGATGCCTCCCATTTGGCAAAGAGCCGCATGAACCCAATACGAGCGGCACATGTACGACAACGGGCTCTCGAGCTTGGACTCGATCCGACAGATTTGACTGACGTAAATTGGTCTCGCTTCTTCCTGGCACTGAGCCAGGGAGACAAAGCACTCGGCAAACTCATTCTGATGAGTGTTAAGGCTGATATTAACCTTCAGGATCGACGCGGCAGAACTCTGCTGCACATTGCAGCGCTGATTGGAGACGAGGATGCGGTTCATCTCTTGCAGCAGCACGGGGCGAGGAGTACCAGAGACCGCCACAGTTGGCTGCCTATCGATATTGCAAGAAGGGAAGGCTTTCCACAGCTCTTCCACCTGCTGTCATTAACCTCCCTCTCCCCTAATGACCGTCAGCCTCTTCCTCTATCATATTATCCCGAGCCCACCGAATGGGCTGGTTCTACCAACCCAAGCGCAGTCACCATCAGCGACAATGGTTTGGTCGCTTTCTTTGCCGACAAAGATGCCTCTGGCCCGGCTGAGCGTCTGACTGGTGCGCGACGGAGCGTCATCTCAAACCACCCTATCCCACCCGATATGTATGAGTACTACTTTGAGGTGGAAATCCTGGGAGCATGTCGGGACGGAAGGTAAGACGGGCCCCTCTGCCAACCCAGAAAGACACTGAAGTTGCGACCCGCAACCGCTAACAGTTTGGTTCGTCTTGTCGCAGAGTGACGGCTATCGGGGTGACCAGGTTCGAGTCCATGTCACGGTTCGGGTTCCAGACCCTCCCAGGATGGGACTCGAACTGGGGCTATCATGGTAATAACGGACAAAACTTCACCGGGACCGGGTGGGGCGCTCCATTCGGTCCAACGTATGGCCCAGGGGATACCGTGGGCTGTGGGGTGGATTTCTGGAATGGAACTGTCTACTACACCGTGAACGGCCAGTACCTTGGTGAGTGAGCCCCTCATTGTGAAATATACTAAATACGGCGTAGAAAGATGCCTTGCTGACGATAAGGGCCATCGCTCTTTCTCAGGAGTTGCTTGTAAGGGCGTCAAAGGCCAGCTGTATCCTACCGTCGGGTTTTGCTGTCTTGGGAAAGTCAGAGCCAAGTTCAACGTCACGCCACCGGCGAGGGAAGAACCTCAAGAAGTGAGCGTCAGGCACCAGGAAGAGTTAGAAGCGTTGGATTGGATACCGTCGCTTGGGCGTGGGCGAGAAGACTTGTGAGAGCTCCATGTCAACAACGACACCCCTGGTTGAAATCACCGAGAGAATTGAAAGCGTGTAATTCATTCACTACAGTACGTACACACGGCGCAACGAGTGCTAGGCGCCAGAACAGAATAAAATTGTCTTACTTCTGAGACTTGATGTCAAGGGCTAAACTCGGTCAACGGAATAAGAAGTTATTTCTGAAGGTATCCGCCCCGTCCTTTGTGACCTTTGAAACTTTCGAACGATGCTGCTCAGGCCTAGTGGGACTAGGTTTTGTAATTTCTAAAGCATTAAAATTTCAGAGGAGGTATGGGTGGCGTGAACAAAAGGGGTTGCGACTTAGTATAATACCACAACAGCGTCAGCGCAATAGTTGGGTAGCTGTTATTGGAGTTACGGGATGGCAGTGTTGAGCTAAGATCATGTAACCACCAGGTAAATCCCAGTTAGGTAGCCGCCAAAGATTTCTACCCAAGCCAACCATTTGTGCTTGTAGGCTATCGAGATCATGGTTGCTCACGACGTCATCCCCTGACATCAGACCCCCACAACCACCAGGCAATCCAACATCTCGGGTAGAGCCTGTGCAAGTAACGTTTCACGGATACGCGATAACCTGTCGTAAAACCAGACATGTACATCTCCCATTAACGCGCTCAATAGAGTTCACACTCTAAAATTCTAGCTCTCAGCTCAACACATCTGCATCAACCCATATCCCATCCACAACAACATCATCAACACCAAACATGCCGCACAAACCCCTCCGCCAACTCGCCGCCGAAAAAGCCCGCGGCAACAAGCCCGCCAACCCCTCCCAGCTCGGCGATCCCATCGACCTCAAGGCCGAGACCAGTGACGGCGAGGATCCTGTCGAGAGTCCTAGTGCCGGTGGCGGTGACAACATCGGCCGTACTGGCCTCGATATACCCCGGGCGTCGCTTGAGGGGGGTCCGGGTAAGAAGGGGGAGAAGAGGGACGGGGTGGTCGGGCTGGGGAGCGGGGCGGGGCCGGTTGGTGGGGTGAGGAAGAGGGGGTCGAAGTTGTAGGGGGGGCTGGGGGGTTGGTTGGCGAGGGGGTGATGGGGCTGATGGGTTGGTGTTATGATGGTTGTGTAGATGGGGGGAGTGGTGGGTTGAGGGTTCCTAAGATGGGCTGTGTCGCATGGCGGTTGGGTACCTAAGCGGGAGGAGTGTCTGAGATGGTGTATATAGGGTCACGTGTTGTAGGTAAAAGGGGGATTGTTTGCTGTGGGATAGGTCTTTCAGTATTGTGTCTGGCACGTTGCTTCCACAAGGCTCAAAGTATTATTTAACATGTTGTTTTTAGGGTGAGGAATAACTTCAACGTCTCCAAAGGAGTTGCCCTGTGGCATCGCAGTTGATGAACGGTGACGCAGTTACCCATGTGGCCACGAAAGGGGGAAGATCATCGCTGAAGCAGTGGGTGAGAGGCAAGGGCGGTGAAGAACCCCCCTTCAACTCACTTCACACTCCAAAATATTGCCCTTGGTTGCGCTGGCAAGCGATAACAACGCGGGCCTAGGGAAGAGCAGACAGAGATATCAGGACTCCTGGTGCTCTCTCACGATCTTGCCGTCTAACTGCTTCATCCACGCACGCCCAGCTGACCCGAACCTTGATCCGTAGTCCACATGAAGGAGACGGATCAAACCCTTCCTAATAAACACCGGAAATCTAGACGGGGTATCACAGATCACTACTCATACAAGTTCTCAAGCCACGACCTTCATTCCACCACTCAACCACCCCATTTCGTGTTCAACTCCGCAAGCGCCTGATACAACCCACGACTCCCATTATCCTCCAAAACACTCCTTGTCGCCCTCGGGACCTTACTCAGCACAAAATTCGACACCGCGGCCTTATCCCTCGCATCCGGCCGCCCAATCCCCACCGACACGCGCGCCCACTTGCCCACCGCTGGATTAGCGCCCAGCGCGGCATGCACGCTCTTAACCCCATTATGCCCCCTCGGACTGCGCTTCCACTCCCGCACCTTAATCACGCCCAGCTCCTCCTCCAGGTCATCATGCACCAGCACGACCCCGACCTCGGCGGCGCCCAGCCGGCTGTCGACCAGCTGCTGGCGGTAGGCGGCGGCCGCCCACGGCCCCGTCACATTCATGACGGCGGGGGACTGCAGGAGCGAGTATTGTGATCCGATGGAGGCGAGCGTGTTGAGCTTGCCGATGCGTTGGGCCGAGAAGGAGGGCTGGGATGGGCCCAGGGCGCGTTGTAGCGCCTCGAGCACGATGTGCCCGGCTGAGTGGTACGTGTTGCGCATCTCGCCCGGGTTGCCGAGGCTGATGACCACGAGCCGTTGTATTGTCATGGTGGGCTCGGTAATTACGGGTGTTGGCGCTTGGTTTGGGGTGGTGTCTGTGGGAGTGCGGGATCTCCGCTTCCTTTTTCCTGTCTCTTTCTTCGTGACCTGCTGTGGACTTGTTCCGATAGACATGAATGAACGGTTTGTTGGGTGTTTTCTCGTATTTCGGAGGGAGATTGTGTAATCTCGAAGACTCGTCTCGGAGATTGGGATGTCTTGCTCTCGTCGATGTGCTGTGGCTGGCGGGGCAAATGGATCGAGTCGATGCAGTTTCGTTGCGATTCGCGGGCGCGCTTTTTGTTCTGGGAGAGAGAATTGGAGCAAAGGAAATAGAGAAACCCCAAAGCTAACCAAGAAAATGTCGATTTGTTATGTCGTTGAGACACGCCTCAGCCGGCGCGTGAGTCACTCGGCTTGTCCGAAGCTGTCCTCAACCAGGCGGCGATGATTTTCAATGCAGGCACAAGTCGCTGCAGGGATGAGCGAGCTGGCCGGCTACATGACAAAAAGAGTCGCACTCAGAAGAAGTCAGGACACAAAATGGGCACCTCGATTCCAGAACGTTTTACATACAAAAAAGCGTTCCTTAATGACCCGTCATTCTACCCTCACCCTGGACAACATCCTGCATCCGTTGTACCATTGAGTCGACCAATCTGTTGATCCAATCTTGGGATCGCGCCTTCCATGCTTCGATCATGAGGCCCCGAAGCTCCTCTTCGGTTTTCACGGTGAACTTGACTAAGTACTGCGTTATAGCGTTCCATGCATTGTCGATGGGAGAGAGGTCTGGGGATCCAGGCGTGTTGAAAAAGTAGTTTAACTGGTGGTCCTGCTTCCAGTCCCGGACAATGTTGTGCTTGCCTGTGCCATGCGCGGGATCGCCCTCCTCCGCGAGAACAAACCGGTCCCCAGACGCAAGCCAGGGACCGACAGCATTCTTGAGGAGCTCATCTCGATATATTTGCATCGTCATCTTCCCATTCGTGTTCTTCCCTGGAACCTCGAAGAAGTAGAGTTCCGACTTAAAATTCCACCCGAGCGCTGCCCAGACGTGAACTTCTTTCACGTGTTTCGGTTCCGGTTCTTGGGCTTCTGGAACACAATTTGGGCAATGCCGTTGACCAGGCTTCCGAATGGCCATAATCTGGCCCTCGGGCCCAAGACCAAAATGTACCGCCTCAGACCACCGGATATCACGCCATTGTTGAGGCGTTGGGCGTTCTCGAAGCGCTACTGTCGCGGCCTCGAGGCGCTTTTTAGCAATTGCTGGCGAGACCCATCCGGTCCGGCACGCGACGCATTTACGGTGCCCAAGCGTATCAAGTGTCCGTCGAACTGTTCGTCTGCTAGCTTCCGCTGTGACGCCTGCTTCGCGTGCTAGCGCTTCCCAGGAAACGACTCGGCCCTCGAAACCGTATTGCCAGATTAGCCTCTCCATCGTGGTGATGTCGTCAGCTCTAAGAATCTTTTTACGACCACGTGTTTCGATACGTGTTTCTTCGGGGTCGGGAAGATTGGGGTCATCTTGAAGGCCAGGTCGGTTGCGCAGTTGGCGGACGATCTCCCAGCCGTGTCGTCTGCTCACTCCGAAGTGCTCAAAAACACGCGACTTGAAATAAGGAATCTTCTCCTTCTCAAGGAAGGAAATAGTACCTAGAACCTGAGCTCTTTTCTGCGCGTCGATGCCGTTGCCCATGTTGTGAAGTATTCGGTTGTAGAGAAGCTCAGGTTTTCTGGGCGCGTGGGATTTGTTGGTTGTGAGCGCGACCTTTTTTGTCCCTGGGGGGCAGGGAGAGGGGCCCACTTGTGGCCCACTCTCCGAGGGCTTGTGGCTTGCCAGCGCGCGCTGACGTCGTTGGTGCCCAGGCCAGGAACATTTGCGCGGGGCTCGGGGGCTGCAGCGGCGGCACCGCCACAGACAACTTCGTCACTGTCTCTGTTCCTCCCAGGCACCGCAAGGATCCATGCTTTTGTCAACCACGCCGAGGCGCATTCCTCCCGAGATTGTCAATACCCACGATACCCAGTTCACCACCCGCCTTGTCACGATTCCTCGCCGTTTTGTACCGCCATTAGCGATTAGCGAGCCCGATACTCTGAATCCATCGTTGCAAAGGAGCCGGCAACAAAACCGCAAATATGTCTTGGGCGGGTGCGTACAAGCCCAGCGACCGTGTGATTTCTTGGTCTCACATGTTGACCGTTGTTTTAGGCTTCAAGAAGAATGTCAACCGCGCGACGACGCAGGTGATGATGAAGACCGGTACGCAGATCCGACCCCGCCGATCCCACGCACTTTCGAACCCCCCGCGCATTACTGACAGCTTCGGGCAGGCCATGTCGAGAAGACAAACGACCGGGATTATGAAGTCGAGGAGAGGTATGGAACGGTACACAGACAATGGGCCCGGAGGCATGAATACTGAGACTTCCGCCAGGCGATTCAGGACAATGGAGGCGGCCTCGTTGCGGTTACAAAAGGAGGCCAAGGGGTACTTAGATTCACTACGAGGTACGGCAACCCCCTCTCATGGCGGGCGCGATTGCAGAGCTGACACCATCCGGCATAGCAATGACGGCCTCACAAATGCGAATTGCCGAAACGATCGACGCATTTTACGGGGACTCGGGCGCCAAGGACGGCGTTAGCAGAAGTTACAAACAAGCCGTGGAGGACCTCGACGCGGAGACGATCAAGGCGCTGGACGGGCCATACCGCACAACAGTATTAGAACCCATCTCACGGTTTTGCGCATACTTCCCCGACGTAAACGAATGTACGCTACGAACAACTCCCTCGGCCCCCACCCCCCGCTCATCCGCTGACACCCCCATCCAGGTATCAAGAAGCGCGGGCACAAGCTCCTCGATTACGACGCGCTGCGGGCCAAGGTCAAGAAGCTGGTAGAGAAGCCTGACAAGGACGTGACGAAGCTGCCGCGGGCGGAGAAGGAGATGGATATGGCCAAGGCGGCGTACGAGCAGCTCAACGAGCAGCTGTGCTCGGAGCTGCCGCAGCTGATCGACCTGCGCGTGCCGTACCTCGACCCCTCGTTCGAGGCCCTCGTCAAGATCCAGCTGCGCTTCTGCGCCGAGGCCTACAGCCGCATGGCCCAGGTCCAGCAGTACCTCGACGCCGACACCCGCGAGCAGTACGCCCAGGGCCAGCTGGATACGCGCGTTGAGCAGGTGCTGCAGGAGATCCGGGAGCTGAGCATCAGCGGGACCGTCTGATCCGAGCCCGGTTTTGTTCTGGGGGCAGGGAAGGCGGAGGGATGGGATGGGGTCCCGGCTGTTTGCCTGCGGGTTGGAGAGCGGGAGGGTCACAGCTGGTTTTGCGGCGTCCGGTTCTGGCATTGGTTAGTTATACAGGGTATACCGGTAAACACGGGTGTGTAACTGAAAGATACCCGTCATTGAAGGCGCGGTGCTGTTCCTGAGTCTTGATGAGATACATTGATTCGAGAATTGTTTTACCATGGGTGCCAGAGCAACTCTGGTCAAGTATCGCGCTATCGTGGATACCTTTCTGGACTTGAGTAGCATTGAGTGCTTTTCGAGCAAGTCGAGAACGACAAGGGGTGTTCCATCTGAAGCAGTTATATTCTAGAAGCCTGGCAACGCAGCGCACCAGCGCATCACTGCAACGTTTGGCGCTTCACCAAGAATGAGCAAGGGCCGAAACCCAAAACAGGGACGACTCGGCTGCCCGCGGGAGATCGTCTGTGTCTCCGGCACTGCCTCGTTGCTGTTTGCACATCTTGCGTGGGATCGTCGGAAGCGAGATGGGAGGGCATGTTTATGCCAAGATTTCATGGCAATGGAGCCTCTGGGACAATCCGACGTTTCTCAAGCCTGGTACGAATAGTTCTTTTGAGCCATTGCTAACCGCTGGGAGTCACAGTCCACGCCATCCCTCCATCTCAGTCATGGTGTTGTTATCTGTCTTGTTCCTCGCCGCGACTGGTCGGACCTGGCATGCTATTTGGTATCATCAATGGGATCTGCGCGTCGACGAGGTGCGGCCGATCGTCGATCGAACGACTGGAGCATCGATGGTTGAGGCTGAAACGGCTTGATGACAGGGATGCTTCGTGGGGTTAACATGGACGCGTCGGGGGCCCTGAAGCAACGGGGGCTCGATTGGCGGCCAACCCCTGAATTTGGCGGCTGGCGGACTTTTCCGGCGTCTAAACTGGCAGCACAACAGTTCACTTTCATGGGCGATGGTCTCGTTGGCCAGCCCTCGCTCACGCACACCGGGGCTAAAGTGCGACCAGAAGCACACCGTATCATCACCACGGTTGGTTACTCAATTTCTCGAGATTGATCGCTCCTCCACGAGGGCCGCGAGACGTAATTTCGAGTAACTTCAGGCTGCCCGGGCCGACTTGCCTCGTTGAAGATGCTGCACCCCAGAAATGCATGCGCCAGGGGCGCGACGGTATGTCTTCCCAAAAGATGCTTTTTGCGCGCCACTGCCCGCCGATTGCAGTCGATCCCGCGGGACCGGATCGTGATGCGCAGTGTGCGCGTCTCGCTGGTGGATGGGGTGGCACTGCTGCGCCTCATAAACGGTTCGCTGAGACGAACCGGGAGATTTTGGGGAACCCTGCACTGGCTGCCAGAAACCCGCAATCCGACGCACAACTCGAGGACCCGAGCCCAGAGACAGGAGGTCTGAGAATGGGCCGCTGTATGCCATACGACCGTCCCATCAGGCCGTTCGATCAGGCGGGTGGAGGCCATGGTCGAAAGAAGTGGCCATCCTTTTTTCCCAACAGATTCCAGACGCGCGTCTACGGAGTACATACCTAAATTTACCCAGCACAGGCAGTGGGGGAGACAGTGAGCGTGGAGAGGAACCTCGTATGCAATACATTTGCTCTGGCCGCCGTGAAAGGAGTCAATTGCTCAAGGGAAACAAGGAACTGTGGTGGCGATCCATTGACCCGGGCTCGTATTTTCCCATATTTCCTGCCATTTCCATTTTCGGGTTTTGTTGGAGGCCAGGAAAGCCCGCCCATCGATCAACTCCGTCGGTTACTTGTCCCGTCCCGTCCCTTGGCGGTCAGGAACGAAGGAGGGCATTGTCCAGGCCCTGCAGGTGCAGACAAGCGCTGCAACATCACTGGTCTGGAGCACCCGCCTGGTTCCCTCGCACCCTGGTCCCAAGCAGCCAGGACAGGGGTCCCGATTCAACTGTTTGGCGAGTTTCGCAATCCAGCGCTGGCGGTCCAGGTCCAGTCAATCTTATTGCCACCCCTTCGAGTAGGAGACAACCAAAACACTCTCGTTATTTATCAAGCTTGATCTGCCTTCGGACGGGTTCCCAGTCTTTCGTTTTATTCTCGTCCAAGTCATCCGTTTGTCCAACACCAAAGGTGGGCTGCACCCATTTTCAGATATCCAACGCCCTTCGCCCAGACACTGCTGCCCCTGGTCGCATTGGGAAACGTCACTCGTTGCAAGCATTGGACGCCGACCAGCCACACGCCAAAACCGAGAGGTTGGTGAACAAGTTGTGTGTTGGCAGTTTTCGTTCCGAGCCAAAAAGACACGACTTACATTTACTGCCGGAGACCTCGAGTTCTCTCCGTCTCTCTCCTCCAGACACTATCGTTTACACACTTGAGGACACCCACCAGCAACCATGAATATCACCAAGAAGTTTGACCGCGCCTTCCAATGGGCCGGAGAGAAGATGGGCGGCGAAGCCAAGACGACCATGTCAGACGACTTCAAGATGCTCGAGACCGAGATGGCGCTGCGCTTTGAGGGTAGGCCACTTGTCCCACATGTAACACATCCTGCCAAGACTGTTTGCTGATATCTCCCTAGGCATGGAACGTCTCCAGAGGTCAATGAACCAGTATGTCAAGTGGATGGGCCGGCACCTTGAGCCTTCTGAGGACAGGGAAAAAGCTCTTCCAGTCGGATACCTGGGTCGTACCATGGTCGGCCACGGCGAGGAGTTCCACCCAGACTCTGAGTTCGGCAACTGCTTGGTAACAATGGGCCGCGCCAACGAGAGGGTGTCGGCAATCCAAGAAACCTTCGTCGGCGAGGCGACAGCGTCATGGTTGGAGTCTCTTGAGAGGTCCTTGGCGATGATGAGGGAGTACCAGGTCAGTGACTTCCCCACCTTACCCACCTCGAACAACCCCCTAACAGACGACGTCAGACCGCCCGCAAGAAGCTCGAAACTCGCCGCCTGAACTATGACACAAGCATGGGCAGGGTCCACAAAGCCAAGCGCGACGATTTCCGCCTCGAAGAAGAGCTCCGCGGCGCAAAGGCCAAATACGAAGAGTCCTCTGAGGATGTGCTGCGCCGCATGCAAGACATCCAAGACATGGAGGCCGAAAGCACGCGCGACCTGACCCAATTCCTGGATGCCGAACTGGAATACCACGAGCGAGCGGCCGAGGAGCTCCGTCGCGTCCGCCAGAACTGGCCCAGCAACGTCTCCCCAAGCTACAGCCCCGTCGAGCGGCGCCCGACCGTGCGCAGCCGTGCCAACACAACGCAGAGCTACACCGACCGCCTGTCACGCACAAGCACCTTCGAAACTGAACCCAGCACCGCGCCCCCGGTCCGCATGCCCGTCCGGCCTGCGCACTCGCGCATGCAGTCCTTCACCCAACAAGCCGACGGCCCCGTCCGCCCAGCCATCGGCAAGCCAAGCCACGCCAGCGCCAGCTTCCAGGGCGGCGCGACCCTCACCCGCGAGCGTGGCGCCAGCGTCTCCTCGACCCCCACCCCCGCACACAACACCGCGATGAATGTGGGCGCTCTTCGCGGCCAGCTGCGTCCCGTCAGCAGGATCGTGACCGCGCCAATCAACAACAATAATCACAACGACGTCTTTGCCGACCGCGACGACGATAGTGGCGCCAGCGACGCCGGCAGCCCCAGCTGGGGAAACCGCAGCACCAGCTCGACGACCAGCGTCGGGAGCCTGAGCCGCACCCCGAGCAACAACGCCGGCATAAGTAATGGTAATTTCAACGTGCTGGGCGGGCTGAAGAAGGTGCCGCCGCCGCCGCCGCCGAGCAGGGCCAAGAAGCCCGCTCCGCCGGTGCCGGCGAGGCGCGAGGTTGCGTACTAGTAATTAATGTGGCATGGATGGTGCGGAAAGACAGGTAATCATAGGCTCGTCTGAGTTGAGCATGGTGATAGGCCGGCGACAGGCCGGCAATGAGGTGATGATATGTCCAGGATATTGGTATGACTGGGTTTTGGAGGGAGGCGCTCGGTGTTGGGTGTTATAATGCTTTCGTGGGCTGGCTCCGCGCAGTTCTAGAATGAACTCGGTGGTCCTATATAGACACAGTTAACCATGCAAACCGCAAGGCAGACGTTATGATAAATTGCATCGTTTCAGCGTTTCGCACACGCAGTTTGCCCCAAGAAGAGTCCGGCGGCGTAATCAATTTTCGTGCAGTTGTGAGCGTGGGAACGCGGCGCGCGTGGCCTGCAAGGTGGGATTGACAGAGCGCCCCTGCAGCCAAGAGGCACTAACCATGCAACGCTGCGGTGGGGTTCTGAACCTCAATTCCACCCAGCATGCTCCGACAGCTCTCGATCAAAGGACTCTGGCCTTGACATTGACTACTACACGAAACGCTGTTGCAAACGACAAACCCGCCACCATGGCTACCGAAGATGCCCGGTACCGACAAACGTCGCAGTTCCAGCTGTGGTCTTTCTCACCGACCCAGTTGTCCGCGATGCGAGAGAAGACGAATACCGCCGCTGGGAGGGAGAATCGCCGAACGCCTCTCTTCCCTCCCCAATTCCAACACCTCCGCCCCTACGTCGAACGCGAACACGCCTGACCCCGATGGAACCTCTACTCCCACGCTCCCCGTGTTTCTCACAGCGCCCGAGGAGGCCCAACTCGTCACCTTCTTCACATCGGAGCTTCTGAGGGCCGGAGACCACGCCGAGATGACAGACGAGATCAAGGCCACCGCTGCGGCCTTCTTCCGGAGATTCTATGTTACAAACAGCATCATGACATATCCGCCGCAGGAGATGCTAATTGTCGCCCTGTTCTTTGGGTGCAAGGCGGAAGGGTCCTTTGTGAGCATTACCGAGTACGCTTCTCCGCCCAAGTGAGGTCTGGAACATGCAGCTAATCATGACATCCTCCTGCTCAGCTTTGTTAAGACATTTGGGAGGGAGAATCCAGAAGAAATTCTGGCTGGCGAGTTTTTGCTCTGTCAGGGTCTCCGGTTCGCCATCGACGTGAAGCACCCGTTCCGGGCCCTTCGCGGTGCCCTGATGGAGCTCGCCTCGCTCCCTGACATTGACGTACGCCCACCTCTTACTCCCCCTCAGCTCGTCCGCTAACCCAACCCTTTTGCACAGCGTGCCCGGCTCGGCGCCGCAGAAACCCGCGCCCGCGAAATCCTACGCTTCAGCCCACTCATCACCGACGCCTACTTCCACTACACACCGAGCCAGATCATGATGGCCGCTCTCTCCCTCGCCGACCGCGGTCTGGCTGAGCGCCTAATAACCCAAACCTTCCACCACATCGCCCCGCCCACCGATTCCGGCGCCGACACACCAGCGGCTTCCGGCACCGACGGCGGTCCCTCGAAGGAATCCGCGCCCCGCAGTGAAGACAAGGCACAAATAATCGGGTCCGTGGCCCGCGACAAGGTTCTCGGCACGATCGAGGCATGCCGGGACTTGCTCTCACGAGAGCTGCCCGAGCGGAGGGAACACTGGACAAATGTACATCCCCCCTTCCCCCTTTCCCTCCCCCTTCCCCACCACACAAAGACTCACCCCTCCCCCAAACAGCGCGCCGTAATAAAAGCGCAAATCACCCCCCTCCGCAAAAAACTCAACAAATGCCGCGACCCCGAACGGTGGAACCTCGTCGAACTCCAGCGCGCGCGGCGCGAGCAGGCGGCCAAGAAATCCGACTCGGAGGACGGCGACCCCGACGAACGCGGCGACAAGAATAACAACAACGCTAACAGCGACGCCGCCGTATTTGGGGACGCGCTGCCGCGGGATCCTAAAAGGAGGCGTGTGTTGGGCGAGGGGCAGAAGGGCAAGGGGCTGGATGATCCGTTTGGCGGGCCGTTGTGAAAGGCGCTTCTCTAGGATAGCCTAGGGGTTGGTTTGGTTTGCATTGGTGTTTTGGAAGGCATAAGGCATGGCATGGCGTTAGGGAGGGTGGTGTTTCGGGTTGCAAAAGACTACTGGAGAACTTTTAAGGGGGCGAAGTACGCAAAGAGGGTCGGGGGAGAAGAGAGAAAAGAAGCAAGAAATAATACCCCGGCAAGGCCGTCCCGTTCGTTCGTGTTCACCGGGCGACATCCTCGTTTTCCACGCGCCAAAGCAGATCCGCAATAAAGTTCGCCAAGTCAGTCTATTCCGCTAGCTAATTATCCTACCATCATCATCTGTTGCACCTGTTCCTCCCTTGCCACCACAAACGCCAAATTTTCCGTTAAACACACCCATCCATCTGCAACTCCGCTGAAAGAAAAACTCCAGAAATGTGATTCCACCACAAAAAACGCCAGTCTGTGAACCCTGAGGCCCCGCCCCAACACTTCCGCCCCTGAGACATCCGCCGCAGCAGGAGAGAGCATGAGAAGGCGGGCGTAACAATGTAAAACACAATGCAGGATATTGACGATATTAATGTAATAAGGGGAGTAGGAGAAGGCCACACACATGAAAGAAGCCCTAAGAAGAATCAGCAGCAGGTCAACTCACTCCTTTGGTCCGGTGTTCTCTGGCCAGACGTCCTCTAGCCAGGAGTGCTCTGACCACATTTTTTCCAGCGAGGACCAGATGTCCCCTGCCCCGGTGTCCCCTGCCCCGGTGTCCTCTGCCCCGGTAGCCTCTAGCCACGGGTACTACTGTGTCCCGAGGTCCTCTGCCCCGGTCTCCTCTACCCACAGGTACTCTCCCGGGTCATCAACCCCGGTATCCTCTAACCACATGTACTCTGGCCCGACAGCCTCTGGCGCGGTGGCGGTGTCCTCTGGCCCGGTGGGACCAAAATCCATGGGCTCGAACTTCGGCTGTGGGGGTAGTTGCGGTGGTGGCGACTGCACCGGCCCATATCTCTGGGCGTTTTCTGCTTGGGCAGCCTGGAATGACGGATGAGCCTGAAACTGATACCCAGGTGGCGGTTGTGGCGTCGGGACAATCAGGGGCGCGGGAAGAAGCTCGGGTTGCTGCGCGGATGGGACTTGGGGGGACACGGCGAATGGATCGTGGGAGGGATGAAGCCAGGGGCCGTGGTGCACCTGGCCTTCCGGCTGAAGGGGGGATTTCGAGGTGTGGAGTTTCGGGGGACCAGAGTTTTGCCGTATATGCCTTCCACTTCTCTTGGAACTGCTCAAATGCCGACCGTGTGTCGGGAATCGCCCCCAGCCAAGTCTCGATGCGATGTGTCAGTTGCGAGCAACCGGCGGGAGTTTCGTGGGCGTGATCGGCGTGGATTGGCAAGCGAGCATTACCCGCATGTTTCCACAGCTTGTATTTTTGTAGGAGCTCCACACGGGCAAGGCTTCGGACCTGAACCTCGGGGTTCTTCTTCTAATCATTAAACCCATGCCGATCCAGCAGGTTCTCGAGGCCCTGGGTCATGGGGACCAACATCCCCGCGCCGGTTGTAGACAGCTTTTCCCACTTTTGCACCGTTGTAACGATTGCGCTAGCCTTGGCTCTGAAGTGCTCGCGGGCAACGGCGCCAAAGATAGGGTCATCACCGCCAGGAGCCGGCTGAGAACCCGGGGTTGCTGGAGGCACCACGGGGGCCGATACGTCATGCTCCGCGTCCCCAGACGCAGGCACATCGTACTCCCCTAGGTTCATACCGGCGGCGGAGTGTGTGACTGCGGCCAAGGGCGGCGGCTGATTTGTCTGGGATTGGTTTACCGTTGCGCCCGTAGGGTTGCCATGTACCTGCTTGTTTGCCGGAGATGCGTCCGTTGTTTGGGCGGGTTTGATTGAGGCGACCAGGCGGTTGGCGAGCCAAGGTATGATGGCGTACTGGACTGTTAAACGCTCGACAGTCCTGTTGTACGCTTGGGCAGCAGCGTGGTCACTACGCAGCTCGTAGCCCGGCTCATTGTAATAGGGCAGGTCATTGAAGATCATGGCCTGGATTGAAACCAAAAGCTGCAACAGGGTCGACCGGTTCGGATCCCACGGCTGGCCCCGCCAGGTTCCTAGCAACGAGAAACAAACTAGCGCGGATATTAGCACGATTCTCTAAGGTCAATGGGTGGTTTTCGTCGGGGCATAACTTACTCTTCCCATTCACGTACAGGTTGGGGTTGAACCGCGCCGTGCCGCCACCTGTTGTCCGGAAGAACATTTCAGGTGGGCGTTTCGGAAACTCGGGGCCACAGAACAAGTCAAATTCAAACAGGCCGTGCTCGTAAGGCGTGTCAGGTGGGCCAACGACCAAGACCTTCATCACGTCCATGCGGCTTTCACCGTGCCGGACGTAGATGCCATCAGGCAAGTCGGTACTCAGGGATAACACCTGCGCCAGGAGCTTTCTCATCCGGCCTGCCGCTGGCTTTGATTCCCCTGCCTTCTTTGCGGCGGCGGCAAAGTGGAAGCTATTTAGCATTATGTCGTCCGAAACCCCCTTGAGACAGTTTTCGCGGTGCCACTCGGATGACGTGTTCGAGGCCACCTTGAGGGCCTTGATTTCAGCTTCTTTGGCGGCATTAGCGCGTGCACTGCGCGTCATGACATTGGCTGTTGGGCGGCAAGGCGGCGGCGGCGAAGAAGACTTCTGGGGGGTGCTAATCGCTAGTTGGGCACGAAGATCCCCAAGGCTGTCGGCGATGCTGCAGATCCTCTTTAGAACTATAAGCGATTCCCCCTTCTCATATTCTGCATCGAGACTTCCGACTCGGCGCGATGCTTCCACAAACTTGCGGGCTGGGATCGCCAGCTGCTCGGCAACGGCGGCCAGAGATTCCGACGTTTCGTATTTGCTGGCCCCGGTACTCTGTAGCTTCTGCGTCCTGGAACCGGTAAGAACAATTTGAGGAAGCTGTTCCACCGCTGGGTAAAGGATCCTCGGGTGAAACAGGAGTGAACAAGTACTCTCGTGACCGGCGAGGGCTTCCATAAAGTCGAGAACCACCGCGATCGGGCGACAGCGCTGGTTGATCTCTTCGATCGCGCCATGTCTCAGCAATTCAGAGGCGCGTGCCATGATTGGGCTTCTCTGAATCATTTCTGAGATTAGCGGTTGGGGCTCTCGATCGAAGGGCGTCGGTGCCTCCTTGCTAGGAGAGGGCAAAAGCAACGACAGGGCCTGGAAATAGAGTGTCAAGTCGCCTGTTTCGTCATTGGCATTTTTCCAGGCCTGGGGTTTAGCAAGATTCATCTGCTGTTTCCAATCCCAGTCGTTGTCGCCATAGCCCGTGCCTTTAGAAAGGAGCGAGCGATTACTAGTAGAACCCCGTAGCTGCGCTCCCTGATCTGGGGACTTGACCAATTTACTGCCCGACGGCTGTGCCGCAGGTTCAAGACCGCAAAGAAGAGAGAATATTAGAAATAAACGGCCTTGGTCGCAACACCAAGCAGCTTTGAACCCCTTTGCAGTAACGACGTGCTTGAGCCTGGGCGACGCACCGGTGTGGTACCCGCCGCAGTGAATGCAAACGAGACCTTTACACTTGGGGCAGGAAACGCATGAGTGGAGGTATCCTGCAACGGTTAGCCCCTGTCGGCGACTCAATTAAACCAAATATGGGAACTTACGACTTTGTTTCAGCATCTCCCCGGTCCTTTGAATGAGAGTGGCACCCTTGATGGTGATAGCCGTCCGACACCGAGTGCATCGGCAGAGACGAAGTCGATTTCGAAAATCAACCAGCGGATCGGCGGGAACGAATACCCTGGGAGCTCGAGGGGGCTGGATAGACTGATCTTGACCCGGGGAGACTTCATTCTCGGCATACAACCGTTGCTGCAAAACCTCGGCCGTCCGCCGGTCATTTTCAATCTGGGTGGTTTGTGCTGCGTTCATTCTCACGCGGTTGAATGTGGCGACGGCACGTTGACGAAAGGGTTTACGGCCAGCGCTAGGGATGGTGCTGGTGGCCTGGCTTATCTGTATCGACGAGTCGATCGGTCCGTCTGGCAGACAGGGCGGAGGACTTGGGGATTTTGTGAGGTCTTGGTGAAGGAGGTAGATTAGCAACTCATGGCACAGGGTGGAAATGTCGGGGCGATGAAGGGTGGATGAAACATCACCCACCGATGGGATTGCTTATGGAGCCTTGGTTTTCAATGATTCCGGCGGCGGTGTTGGCTGGGGCCGGATGATGCGCTGAAGGAGAAATAGCCGGAAGAGTCGAGACCCCCGCCGTCCCATCTTGGGCTGAAGAGAGATCTGTTAGCCAGCCCAGTAGCGTCGATGGTGCGCAGGTCTTTGGAAGTCTCGCCCCCTTACCTCCATTTGTTGTCGTCATCAAGCGCTGCTGTTTCGGCCCACGAGAGCCCTGTGACGTCTCGTCTAGCGAGTTATGACCTCGCTTCACCATGGCGGGCCACTGTTGCAACTTGTCGGATGCTTTTTGCAATTTTGGCTCGCAGAAGGGTCCATGAGGGCATTGTCGAAAAAGGTTTCGGCCTCTGGCTGGGCCGCTTTGCTGCACTAGAGAGTGTGCAGAGGCAGAGTGGGGGGCGTCAAGGTGCGGATTCCGGAATGCACAGGCAACAAGGGCAAAAATATCGTAGAACAAGTGAAGAGGTAGGTGAACAGGTCGTACAGATCAAGTCATTGATTGATCGGTCGTTGTAGGGATATGCGACGGAGTTCGATTCCTAATTATTCCACCGCGCAGCCTCTGATTTTCCCGGTTGCAGTTGTGACGGTCTGCCCGAGCCCACGAGGGCCAAGTTCACTGTTCAGGACTCCCAAGTCCTGTTGAGGGAAGTCGGATAGGTAGAAGAGTTGGAGGGTCGGATCGGGTTGACAAGTGAGGTGATCTAAGGTAGCCCTGGTGGGGAAGAAAGAACGGACGAAATGGTCTCAATGACCATATGATGACGCCAAACACAGAGATGTAAGGATATGGGGGGGTGATTAGGTAGGTATGGGGATAATCACTCAAAGGCTGGGTGAATCCATCAGGTAGTTTTCTGATGGACAAACAGCTTTGCAGGGTCGCCGACTTGCCGCCTTGGACGCTGGTCGGAAGGTGCCCGTGGTTGCGCAGTTGCTTGGGCAATTGCTTGGGCAATCGCTTTAAGGTTTCGGGGGTTGCGGTCAGGACCGCGCCGGCTTAGGTGGTCACGATACACACACCAACGTGACCAGCCATGAGGTGCTCGGGCTCAGGTAGGTAAGCGCTCTCAACCGGGGGTTGTTTAACTTGTTTAGCGGGAGCAGGCAAACGTGACGGACTGGTCGCAGCTGCCCAGGCGGAAGTGCGGAGCAGTGGAGGGCTTGTTTGCCTGCATGGCCGCCTCAGCCTGTCGAGGGGTTCCGTGGCCCGACATGGCGGCTGTTCATTGGAAAACTCCGTCTGTTCCTGGCCGTGTGTGGCTGTTGAATTTATTGGGCAACCCCATTTGTGCTGTAGGCTGGACGCGTCGAATGGGAATGCAGGGCGATTGGGATTCTGGAATCTGGAAATGCACAGCGCATGTCCATACTTACTGCATCCAATGAGTTCAATCTGGTTTGCTTCAATTTGTTTGGTTCAATTTCCAGCAGAAACTGCCGAAGGTGCAGAGAGGTACATAAGGTACATACTTCAGCACCTGGGGCACGGGACTGAGAGCGGGGTTCAGTTGGCTGGGTGGCTGACCACTTTCAAGCCACCTCGCGCAGATGAGGCAACGGCTCGAGAATCATCAACTAGGTATCAATACACATGCCACTTTTAACGACACCCAGGTGGCTAAAGATCTATTACCGTGGTATGTCGTGAGGGATCGGATGATAATATGGATGCTCATGATACGATAGTTAACTAGTTATTCAAATCTTGTTTTATTCCTGTTCCATGAAATTATTCCACGCTGAGATTGAGAGAAAAGCCACAAAACCACACACATTAGGTTGTATTTACCGAGCAGCCATAAGACAAATATTTGATGCTTTTTAGTTGATATACCTGGTACCTTGGTCTATGCTGGTAGCCCAACTTACACTCAGTTTCATGATTTCCGCATTCGTACTTCAACCCCACAGTCTCCACCCTTCCACGGCAAGGCGACTTGGCGACCCAGCTCCAGCAACACTACGTCAGCACGGAGTAAGCACCTACGCAGTTTCCTGTGATGTCATCTCGAACGCGAAATAGCTCAAGCTTTTCTGCTGCCTTGAATCTTTCGGATGAGATGGACCAAAAAAAAAATATAACGGGATGGCCGTCGGTGGAGGTTTTAAGGTGAGTAGTAGGTAAGTCATGGAATGGAGGGCTCCGGCACCCGGAGTTCAGTGCGGATACCTGAGGCAGGCTAGGCAGACTGCGAGGCCAAATGAAAGGGAGCAAACTTTTAAAGGATATCTGATTTACCAGCTTCATATCTAATATGGAACCCCCCTCCACTCTCCCACCCCATCATAAAAAGGTGACTGATTGCCAAGACCAAGACGTGTGCCAAGAGATAACGCAGACGAAAGCTGCAAGCCTGCAGCTGAGTTAATTGTAGCCGATGGCTTCCCAAGGGCTCGGGACAGATGGATGTGGGGGACAGCAGGAGTCGCAACATCGAAGCATCCCTTACTGCAGTTAGGTATGTAAAATAAAGATGTGAAGAATGTTCCTGGTACGAAAATACTTCTTCCACGTTGTTCCAAGCTCAGTGTCGTTATCTTATCATGGCCGCGAAACCGAAGTGGTTGGTTAGGCTAGCGGCTCAGCACCCGAAGAACCCCCAAAACGACTTCACCAGCAGCACCCTGCAGAGCCCTGCAGAACCTGGGAATCTTGAAGCAACACCATGCATGCACCTTAGCAGACCTTCCATGGTTTCCAGGATACATACCATTTCACAACCTGCACTGGACACGCGTTTTTACCACAGTGGCGACCGAATATTCTGGACCTTCAGATTCAGCAAATCTGGTCTGTTTTCTCTTCCCTCCCCCACGGCAGAGTCCCTGGCCCCCACCAAATTCCAATCCTTCCTTCGGCCACAACAAAGCGGGAGGAGACCTGGGCCGCTTGCCTTATCAGTGGCCCCACCCAACCTATTGATGTTGGGCCCCTAGCCAAGAAAGGACGTGCCTAGAACGGAATCAAGGGGCCATAATAATCGATGGTCTTATCAGTTTGCAGCAAGGTTGACAGAAGGAGTCGAAGAATGGGATGCACTCGGGGTGCGGGAATGGAGCTGGCGGGAGCTTATTTGACCCTGCTGCTCCCTCACGAGCTGGGGTAGCTAACTCCTGGCCTTGTCTCTCTCTTCATCGGACCAAATACCAGTCTTACGCTGCTTTTGCTTCGACGATCTGGCCGTCTTCACCATGTCGACCGGCCCGTTAACCACGTACACCGGAGTCACCGGTGTTGCCGACCCTGGCGGCGACTCCATGACCGAGGACCTGAACTTGTATTACTCGGTAAGGCCCGAGCGTTGGAGAAAGAACCGCAACGCAGTCGTAGCCCCCGTCACTGACATTGCCCGTAGGCCGGCGACTTCGCGTGGATCATGACATCCTCGGCCCTTGTGCTGCTCATGGTCCCCGGTGTCGGTTTCTTCTACAGCGGCCTGGCGCGCCGGAAGTCAGCCCTCGCTCTGATCTGGTTATCCCTGATATCCATAGCCATCGCCGGCTTCCAGTGGTTCTTTTGGGGCTACTCACTCACCTTCTCCCATACGGGCAGCGCCTTTATTGGCGACCTCACCAACTTCGGGTTGATGAAGGTGCTTGCCCAACCCAGTGTCGGCAGCACCAAGCTCCCTGACATACTGTTTTGCCTGTACCAGGGCATGTTCGCCGCCATCACGTTCGTAACCCCCCTCCCCTCCTGCACACCCCCAGGAAGCAAGTGTCAAACTAACCCTGTGCTTGCCTAGCCCCGCCCTCGCCATCGGCGCCGCCGCCGACCGCGGCCGCATGCTGCCCTGCGTGGTCTTCATCTTCATCTGGGCGACCATCGTGTACGACCCGATCGCGTACTGGACCTGGAACGCCAACGGCTGGTCCTTCCAGATGGGCGGGCTCGACTTCGCGGGCGGCACGCCCGTGCACATCAGCTCGGGGGCGGCCGCGCTCGCCTACTCGCTCATGCTGGGCAAGCGCACCGGCTACACGCGCGTGCACGGCCTGCCCTACCGCCCGCACAACGTGACCCACGTCGTCCTCGGCACCGTCTTCCTCTGGGTCGGCTGGTTCGGCTTCAACGGCGGCAGCGCCCTCGGCGCCAACATGCGCGCCGTCATGGCCTGCGTCGTCACCCACATCGCCGCCTGCGTCGGCGGCTTCACCTGGTGCCTGCTCGACTACCGCCTCGAGAAGAAGTGGAGCACCGTCGGCTTCTGCAGCGGCGTCATCTCGGGCCTTGTCGCCATCACCCCCGCCGCGGGGTACGTGCCGCCCTGGTCTGCCGTCGTGTTTGGTGTGGTCGGCGGTGTGGTGTGCAACTTTGCCACCAAGCTGAAATTCGTGCTCGGTATCGACGACGCCCTCGATATCTTTGCCGAGCACGGCGTGGGCGGTATCGTCGGCAACCTGCTAACAGGCCTCTTTGCTGCGTGAGTCAAGACTGCCCCCTTCCACCAAACAATCCCGAGCTAACCCATACACACAGTGATTACATCGCCCGTCTGGACGGCAGCACCAAGATCGACGGCGGCTGGGTCAACCAGAACTACGTCCAGCTTGGCTACCAGCTGGCCGACAGCGTCGCGGGCTTCTCGTATTCGTTCGTCATGACCTGTGTCATCCTGTTCCTCATGAACCTCGTCCCCGGCTTGTCGCTGCGTGCCAGTGCCGCCGAAGAAGAGATTGGCCTCGACGATGGCGAGCTCGGCGAGTTTGCGTACGACTACGTCGAGATCACCCGGCATATCGACGGCGCCATGACAGGCATGACGGGCAGCCCCAGCCATAGCATCAAGGGGGATGTGCCGGAGAAGACGGCATGAGGGATTGACCGTCGTGGGGATCCGGGGTGGTGAGTCGTGATGTGGGTGGCTGGATATGCCGTGTTTTGCCTTCTTACATGATACCTTTTTTGTTAATTTTGTCTACGCCTGTTAATATTGAGCCGTTAGCCTTCAACACGCTATGATAGTGATTCACTTCTTCGCTCATGCGGGATTTATTCAATGAATCGGGTCTCAGGGGGCAGAGGTGGTGATTCATGGTGGTAGGCAAGAATTGAATCTCGGCTCCTCCCACCTTCGTATTATTGGAAAACCAACAGCCAAGATTCCAAAGTTATCTCACAAATGATGGGGACTTACGGTCGAAAAGCCCCAGTAGTATTGACAACTCACAGCTCACAACCCCCCCCCCTCCCCTCCCCCCCTCGCGAACCAGAGTTTCAATCACAATAACATATAGGTACATGGCGGTGCGCGCCGCTGATGGCCCGGGCATGAACCACCTCCCTACCCCAGTTCAGGAGTCAGTCCAGAAACCCGACCTACCGATACTGAGTTGGTCGATCCCCCAACATCGACTGTCTGAAGTTGAGCTCCATGCCGTAGGCCGGGCCACCCTTGGGACCTAGGGGTGGTCCACTGTGCCGCCTCCAAACCCATTGTCCAGCTGCTAAGGTGAGTATGGGATGAGCCCAATGTGAATGCCGTAGCCTGAGGTGGCCCGGAAAGCGTTGTTTTTCATGGCCATGTTGGTCCTTGGTCCGGTTGATGGCTGACCTTGTTTCACGCGGTGAAACGACGGCGAGGTCGATTAGAAAGCAACTGCAATTCTCAACAACAAGGCGGCCAATACCAAAGTATTGTAGGAGAGGACTGCAAGAGACGATGCCAGATAAATAGCGGCAAATTTCCCCATTTTGGCGTCTCAGTTTTCGAACAACAGCAGCTGTCAGATCTGGATCGACTACATTACCGCCCCATGCCGAGACTGAAAAGCCTTTGACGGCTTACGCTTTGAGCGAATTTATCACGGCTTGAGCAAAAAGAGCAGCTCCAGGCGAGTGAGCAGGAGGTTGACGGTACGTTGCCGGCTTAGAGCACCTAACCGGTTCGATCCACAGCCCGCTCCTTCCCTCGAGCTAGTACCCAACCGCTCTTGCCTTCGAGAGCAGTCACTCTACGGCTTAGAGGAAGGAACGGCTTCAACAAATAAGCCGCTTAAGGTCGTAAGCCGAAGAGAGAGCACTCGCTGCTGTGAGCGAATATGTCCCGGCTCGTGGATACCCGCCTTACACCGCTAAGTACAATTCGACACCTATCATTCTCACTTTCCAAGCACACTTTGTTTCTCTACCACTCAAATAAATGTCCACAGGCATGACCGCCAACAAGCAAAACGACGTGGCCTTTACCGTTCAAAGAATGGGCCCAGGAAATCCGGAACAACAACGAAATCCGCGCTGAAGTCAAGGTGCCGGGTCGGATCAACGAGCTGACTATATCACACGGCAACTTTAGCAACTCAGGTTCCAGCATCACCCACACTGAGTACCTTCACCTCCGCACGATCTGGTACCGGTATAACTGTGACAATCATATTGACGACTTTGCGGATTTGTACCGAGACAATGGCCAAACGGGTTACAAGGGATTCATTCGTATCCCCTCACAACAACCAACTTGCGCGGGAGTTGGTTTCAAAGTCAAACAGGTCCTCGTACCTGACTGCGTACTTGAACGAGGGCCTGAGAGATGTTGGCGCCCCATCTTACCTACATCCTTTACCCGAATGCGGGTATTTCAGCATGGTCCGGTACTGGCAGGTCATGGCTACCACGCACACCAAGGGCAGTGGAACGGATGGCCCGAAAACCGACAAATCCCAAGCCGAGAAGGAGGATGCAAGAGGCCGACCGACAACGCCCGTCGAGCAACAAGGTTCCGGTGGGCCGTCAACCGTGGCTACACCTCCCCGCCAGATTCTGCCCCCTTCTAATACCCCCTCAGACTTCCGGACGCCGGCGGCAGTGTCGCATCCAGCCGCTAAGGGAGGCGCCGACAACCCTCCATCCGCCGACGAGTCGTATGTGAATGTCGCCCTGCTCCTGCTGCTGCAGACAATCTCACAGGGATTTCATAAGCATTTCTCTGACTTGCACTGGGTCCCACCCCGCCTGGCCTTGCACCTGAAAGTCCCCGTTTTCAACCCTGCCACACACACGGTCGACAACAAGTTGTTGCTGGAGGCACGGGTGGATGGTTACTTGTGTCGCGGAAAAGCTGGACCTAGTTGGGAAAAGCCCATGGCCATTTGCGAGGCCAAGTCGGGCACGAGGAGGTCGATCTAAATCTCCACTGAGAGACAGGAAGCCGCTGAGATGGCCGCCTGAATTTGCAGCCACCCACTCAACGAAGGCCTTTTGCAGAACTCGAACAGCGGGAAGAAGCGGTAAGTATGGCGAAGTGATCTACCCCAAACGGATACTCCGCTAACGTTGCATACTCTAGACGACTGATGATTTCTCAAAACCTGAATGATATTTATATCATCATCGGGGAGTATGGACCCAGCTATGAGCAGTACATCCGCAACGCTCCGTGGAGGTGCACGGCCCCGAAGGAGACCATCGCAAAACCGGCGCCCCTGCAACACACCCAAGCCAGGTTAGCACGCGACTTCGAAGAAACGCTCGGTTCTCCCACGTTCCTGAAGCAGCTTGTCCAGCAAGGCATCGTCGATATCAAGGATGGGATAAGAAGGTGGTGGGAAACGCCGTGGGTAGGGTGAAAGCCACACTTACATCTCGCAACGGCGGTCCTGGAGGCCCTGGTGGCAACGGAAGCGACTTGAGCAATTCTGGCCAGGCGCCTGGTACCGGGCGAGTGACACGATCAACCACTGCGGCCCTTGACCTTCCGACGGTTGGCGGGTTCCTAGTTATGCACCGCTTTGGTCCCTGGAGAACCGACGACCCTGAAAACATGAGCAACTTCATTCGTCGCCTTCTGGGCTTCATGCTGGAGCTATACGGTAACAGGGCGGCCTCACCTCCAAACAGCCGCAGCGCGCCGACCACCGGTCATCACGGCCCGCTGGTCATAGGCACCCGCCGCCCATCGACCACGGGCTACCGCGGGCCGGCGGCCACTAGTGACCGCCCCGCGTCAACCACCGGTAGTCGTGCCCCGTCGGCTACCGGTGATCGCGCCACTGGCAGTCGTGCCCCGTCCGCCACCAGCCGCTCCTCATCCACGACGAGCAACCAGGCTCCATCGGCCAGCTAGAATGGTGCCACTGGTAGTCGTGCCCCGTCGACTACCGGTCAGCGCACCTCGTCTGCCACCGGACACCGCTCCACGTCGACAACAGCTAGTCGCGCGTCTTCGACCACCAGTGGTAGTCGTGCCTCGTCGGTCACGGGCGATCGCGGCCGACCCCAGTAATCAACATTTCAAGTTGGTTTAGGTTGGTTGTTGGGCCTGTGGCTCACAGTTTCCTTTGTTTCCGCGTTCTGCCTTTTTGTTTTTGGCTTTTTTTTGTTTTTGGCTTTTTTTTCCTTTTGCGTTTGAGTTTTATATGTACCTACCATAGACTATGATATCAAATTCAGTTTGGATGCTCTTTTCGCTCTGGTTTGTTTATCCTTGTAATGGATCCTGGCCAGGCACATCTGCTTGGCTCATGTCTGGACTGGGCCGACAATCACGCCCACAGACCTGGCCCATTCCAAGGCCGTATAAATGATCACTGACCACTTACAACCAACCAATCACACCTGCATTTCGGTGCGCTGTCACTCTTTTTGCTCGGTTGTTGCGAGGCAGCCGACCGCTGAAAACAAACAAGGAGCAGTACGAATATCGCAAGGACCATAAACCACCCAAATCTTCTCCGGTTTGTCCCCCAACACTCCGAGAAGCGAAGGTATCAACCTTCCAAAACACCACCACCACGCTGCACCACAGGTTGCCTTCATTGTCTGGTTCCATTCCGCCCTTCCGCGATGCCAGCGAAATTAGCGACGACGGAGAACCTTCGTCGGGCCATGGTTGAACAAAAACAGCTGCGCGATATTTCCGAAATGAAAGCGAAGTTTGATCATCTAACCACTAATGCGTGTGTCATTGACCAACCGACATTGGATTCTTTGGGTGTTGTCCTTGGGCAACCGCTCGATATTGACGACAGCGGAAGTTTTTGGGGTTCCGACACGCGCTTCTTTCAACCGTGGGTGCCAGATGAGCTCCTTGACGAAGCTGCTTCGAACCGGGCACCCTGGTCGTGGAAGGACAAGATCAGAGAAACATGGTATAAACAGCCAGAAAGCAAGTACGGAGAGCTCAAGGCTCAGTGGTTCAATGGTTGTCTCGAAGACCTGTACGAAATGGATAAAGAGTTATGGGAACCCTGGGTGTAAGCTGCTTTTATCTGTTACAATCCACCTCCGTGGGCATCCGATACTAACATCACAATGGCTAGAGTGGACTCATACACCATCAGGGAGCACAGTGGACTCGACCTGCCCCTATGTCGGTTCAGAATCTTCGACCCGGCGACCGATGATTTTGTAGAGCGCGAGTATTCACCCGAGGCGGTCTACTTCCCCGTCGACAGGACCAAACCCCACGTAGCTTGCTTCGCCATCGATTCGAACCACCCCCCGGGGGATAAGGTCCTCCGCAGTGACCTCCACTACGCCATCCAGCTGGTCAGATTTCGGCTCGAAAAAGGCCAACACACCGGGCACCACACCAAACCGGTAATTTCCCACCACCCCCCAAACCCACCCCCCAACCCCACCAAACCACTAACCACCCCCTTTCCCTCATCCCACAGGGCCTCATCTACACCATAGAGCGCGACCAATGGGCACGCATCACCCAAGTGCACTTCGACACCAACGCGCACAAGCTGGTGCTCCGGCAGTCGCGCCAGCTGGACTTGTGCGGGCCGACACCCCCGCCCGATGCTTTCTTGTTGTTGCGCTGGATGACCAGCCGGCCCGCCGGCGACACCGAGTATGTCGACGAAGAGGAGCCGCCCAAGGAGGAGGTTGCGCGGGATGAGCCATCGAGCGCGGCGCCGAAGTTGTTGTTGGGTTGTGCTTGATGGTACGGGGCGGTAAGGAGGGGAGAGAAGGGGGGG